ATAACTTCTCCCTTGTGGACAGGCTTTCCTCTTCAGAAATGCTGCCTCCATTTGGCTTTTAGTTGGGTCCTTGTGAGGTGGGTCAGCCCAATAGATATTACTGTCCCCATTTCAGAGACTGAGAGAGAACATGACGGCCTGAAGGCATCTGGCCCAGTGCCAGGAGCTGGGACTGCAGCCAAGGCTCCACTGATGAGAGGGTTCTGTAAGTGCCATTTAGTTGGCCTTTAACTCAATTAGTCCCAGAAACGTTGTTTTGGGGCCTGCACTTATGTCCTTGATCTCATCAAGTGGAAGTTGTGGTTCTGCCTAAGACGGTCTTGTTGCTCACCCAAGGTAAGGACATGGATCAGTGCCTCTTTTGAGGCCTCTTTCAATTATTTTATTCTATTTATTTATGCATACATTTAAAATTAAACAAGTTCTGTGGCTTTGGAACTTTGTAGACTTGGGATCTGCTAATTACTCAGTGAGTGACTTTGTAAGATCACTTAACATGCCTCATACTTGGTTCCTTCATCTATAAAATGGGGCTGCTGTGAAGATTACATATGGTAAAGGATGCAAACCATTTAGCATTATGCTTGAGCACCCCACATCCAAACTATGGCTAGTTGTCTCAGTTCTATCTTCAAAACATTGTGTATCTAGAATTTCACCACTTTAACCACTTCTCACCTACCACCTCTGTCAAAGCCACCATTGTCCCTTACATATATATTTATAGTGATGGCCCTACCCAAGGTCTGTTCCCACCCATTCCCTTCCTGCACTTTATTGTCAACCTAGGGGCCAGAGTGAGTCTTTTATTTTATTTTTTTAATTTTAATTTTTCTTTTTTTGCGGTACACGGGCCTCTCACTGTTGTGGCCTCTCCCGTTGCGGAGCACAGGCTCCGGACGCGCAGGCTCAGCGGCCATGGCTCACGGGCCCAGCCGCTCCGCGGCATGTGGGATCTTCCCGGACTGGGGCACGAACCCGTGTCTCCTGCATCGGCAGGCAGACTCTCAACCACTGCGCCACCAGGGAAGCCCCCAGAGTAGCCCCCAGAGTAGCCCCCAGAGTGAGTCTTTTAAAATGAAAGTTGGATCACACAGAAACTCTACTCAAGCTCCCCGGTGACTTCCCATCCCAACCAAGCCCAAAGTCCTCACTGTTGACCACAGAGTCCTCCGTGATCTGGCCCTTAGCGTCTCTCAACAGCTTTTCCTCCCACTCCCCTCTTGCTCTCTGTTCCAACTATTTTGTCTTTCTTGCTCTTCCTCAATCTGGGCATGTCCCTGTCTCAGCCTCTTTGCACTTAACGCTCCCTTTTCCTGGAAAAATTTGCCCTTGGTACCCTCCCTCACTTCCTTGAGTTCCTACTCAAATATGACCTTATCTGTCACCTTCCCAGCCTCTTGTATATCAATGTGTGATGCATATATTAATTTCATGTTCATTCAGGCAATAGATGCTCCATAAATATTTAAGATGCTTAGTAAATTGTCATGAAGGAATAGCTAACCTTTACTGAAGTCTTGCTATGTGCCCTGAATTTTGCTTTCCTTTGCAGGTAGCAATCTATCTTCTTGGTGTATTCTGACACCTGTTAGAGATCTTAGCTCAGATGATTTCTCCAACAAATCTTCCTTGATCAGTCAAGCCAGAAGCGATTCTTCACTGTTCTGTATTCCCTTAGTGATCACTTGGTACCATTCACTGTCCCCTGGTGTTGTAGAGTTTTTTTTATAAGTATCTTTTCTTAAATATAACAAGACATTTGATGGCAAGGACCATATCTAGTGAAATTTTATGTAATGCACAATTTGTAGGGCAGCCTCTCAATTTATAATCCACTTCAGATATTTAGGAAAAGTTACATATGCTCTCACCAGTTCTAAAAATGAATTCACATTGATGGATAAGTGTTATTTGGGATTGTAGATTTCAGAATCCAAAATCTCAGAGTTAGTATGTCCAAGGCAAAATTAGGTAGAAGAGAAAAATGAAAACATAAAGCTACAAAAGTCCATTAAATGTATCATTAAAGACTACATGAACATAAGGTTGAATTGTGTAGAGTTATCTCCATAGGTCCATGGCTCCTTGTGAATACATCTGACAAACGACATATTTATAAAGAGTTTTGGTAAGAAGCAATGATCATTTCTTCTCAATTTGCTATAGTAATCATTTAACTCTTTACTTATCTTCTCTGTGCTTTCATTTATGACATCCTAGAAAAACTAGTAACAAAATATTTTTCCTATGCTGCAGAGAAGACTTCTGGATGTGACAGTTTCTTTTCTGGGCTATCAGAGTAGCTCTATATTGAGGTAATTTTTAATGGTTGTGGTATTTTCAGTGTGACTCTCTAGTGTGGAAAAGCCTCGGGCACTGAGTGAAGTCCTTTTTCACTTAATCCTTAAAACAGCCCTGTGAGGTAGGTATTACTGAGTCATATCGCATCACCCTCACGCTTAAAAACCCTCCAGGGCTTCCCTGGTGGCGCAGTGGTTGAGGGTCCGCCTGCCGATGCAGGGGACACGGGTTCGTGCCCCGGTCGGGGAAGATCCCACATGCCGTGGAGTGGCGGGGCCCATGAGCCGTGGCCGCTGAGCCTGCGTGTCCGGAGCCTGTGCTCCGCAACGGGAGAGGCCACAACAGTGAGAGGCCCGCGTACCGCAAAAAAAACAAAAAACCCCCCCAAACCCCCCTCCAAATGGCTCCCCATTTCACTTACAGGAGACCCAAGCTCTTACTATGGCTATAGGAGCCATCCCACAAGGACCCTGCTCACTTCTTCCCTTCCATCTCTTTCCAACTCTACTTTCTCTACATTATTCGGAGTGGTTCTGTCTGTCCGTGAACATGCCCAGCCAAGCTGCTTCCTGCCTTGGGGCCTTTGTACCTGCTGTTCCTTCTGCCTGGAATGCTGTAATCAGATCCTTCAATGGCTGTTTTGTCCTCATTAAGTCTCAACTTAAATTTTAGCTTCGCAGAGAGACTCTCCCATACACATGATGTTAAAAAAAAAAACCAAAAAACCTTCTGTATGGGGTTGTCAGGTATAGCAAATAAAAATACAAAACAGGGGCTTCCCTGGTGGCGCAGTGGTTGAGAGTCCGCCTGCCGATGCAGGGGACATGGGTTCGTGCCCCGGTCCGGGAAGATCCCGCATGCCGTGGAGCGGGTGGGCCCGTGAGCCATGGCCGCTGAGCCTGCGCGTCCGGAGCCTGTGCTCCGCAACGGGAGAGGCCGCAACGGTGAGAGGCCCGCGTACCGCAAAAAAAAAAAAAAAAAAAAAATACAAAACACTCAGTAAAATCTGAATTTCAGATAAACAACAAAGAGTATTTTGGTATGTCTTGTGCAATGTTTGGGACATACATATACTCAAACATTATTCATTCCTTGTTTATTTGAAACTCAAATTTAATTGGCTGTCCTGCAATCTACCTGGCAACCCCACCTCCACAGCCGCTCTGTGGGATCTCCTCTTTTATTTTCTCCGTGGGACATTTCACCATTAGAAATTCTGTTTGATTCTCCCACTGGAACATGGGCTCCATGAGGGTGGGGCCCTCTCCGCCTTGCTCACAGCTACATCCTCAGAGCCTATCATATGGCCCGACACAAATAAATGATTACACATAGTAGGTGCTCAATAAATATTTGTTAAGTATTTGTTATAAAGGATAAATAGAAGAATAAAAAGGTTAAAGAGGTTGGTAACATATCCAGGGCATACTGCCAGCTGGATGAGATTGGAATTAGACAATATGGTGCCAAAGCTCTTCTGAGTTTTCCACATTTTGGGGTGTGGAAGGCAGTGGAGTTGAGAAGGGGCATTGTGTCACCTGCCATTCAAGAGGCTCTCAGTAGAATCAGAAGACCCTGGGAGCAGCAGATTTCGGGAGAAACGAAGTCTGAATGAGCCTTTCCCATTTGCTTTGCACGTAACCAAAGGAAAATGCACTTGAGTGAAAAGAACAAGGTACTCTGCGTTTGGAACGGGGTCAGAGGCGGTGCGCATCCTCCATGTCTTCGGACACGGTCAACTCCCTGCAACTTGAGGGCTGGCTTTATTGTCAGACTCAGGAAACCTCTAGACCCGGATCACAAGAGAAACTAACGGCACAAGCAAAGAGCAGGGAGGGGCGGATCAGGATGAAGTCAAGGCAGAAGAAATCGAACTCTGGTCTTGGGCCCAGGCCGGGCAGCGGGGTGTGGGCAGCGGCGTTCAGCCTCAGAACTCGGTCAGCTTCACCTCTTGGTGTGGACACTGGGCGCTTCGCAGGACCCACTGAAGGCGCATAATCTCCACTCGAGCTCACTTCGTCGGACCCAGGATGATTGCCAGAGGGCGAGTCTAGCGGCCGGCCCGGAGCTAGCTGCATGGGTAACTGTGGCCGGATCCTGGGGCGCAGCCTGGCTCTGGTCCCTAACCAGCTCCACCCGGCTCTCGCCTGCGCGTCCTCCCACCCAGGAGCTGGAGGATGGTCCCGGGGCGCGCCGAGTGTCTTCAGCCCGATCCTCCCTGTTGTGTGAGTCGCACGCGCGCCCAGTTCGGAGGCAGCCACCCTCGCCGCCGCTGACAGGTGCTGCCCGGAGGGCGTCGGGTGCGGTCCCAGGCGCAGCTGGAAACGCACGCCCGGTGCGTGTAGCGTCCCGAGCCCGGAGCCAGAGCGGAGAGGGGGCCAGGGCGCGGCCTGGGGGACTCCAGTGGACTGGAGCCGCGGAGCGCGGAGCTAGAAACTTTGCAGCGGCCGAGATTTGGCTACAGCGCCAGCCCACCCCCGCGGGTGCGGGAGGACGAGGCCGCGCCTGAGTCCCGCGGCCGGAGAGCCTCGGCGGCGGCGGCGTCTTTTCCCCGCTCTGGCCTGAAGCCGCCGGTCACTCCCGGCTTCTGCTGCTGCGTCCGCCGTCGTCGCTGCCACCGCGGGGCTCCGGGAGGAGGCGCAGCCGGAGCGGGCGGAGAAGAAGGAGGAGGGGAGCGGAGGAGCAGGGGGTGGAGGATGGAGCCCCCGGCTGCCGCGGCGGGCTCGCCCGAGCCCGCGGCGGCGTCCTCTTCCTTCCAGGCCCGGCTCTGGAAGAACCTGCAGCTAGGGGTGGGCAAGAGCAAGGGCGGCTGGGGCGGGCGCGCGGGGGTCCCCGAGCGCCGCACTGCGGACACCCCGTCGCCCTCCCCACCACCCCAGCGGGGTAGGCGGGACGCACTGGCCGGCTTGGGTGGCGCGGGCAGCAGGTGGAGCGGCTTCAAGAAACGGAAGCAAGTGCTGGACCGCGTCTTTTCCTCCTCCCAGCCCAACCTGTGCTGCTCCTCGCCGGAGCCTCTCGAGCCCGAGGGTGCGGGCAGAGCGGAGCAGGGGTCCACGCTGCGCCGCCGGATCCGCGAGCATTTGCTCCCCGCGGGAAGGAGCCCGGTGGCAGCCGCCGGAGCAGCCGGAGTGACGCCTCCTGGCGGACGCTCTCCGGACTCAGCTTGCTCTTCATCCTCTGCCTCATCCTCCCTGTCCTCCTCACCCCAGCCGCCCCCGAGGGGGAACCGCGCCCGAGATGAGGGTGCACGGCGTCGGGGCACTGTGGCGCACTTGTGCCATCAGAAGAGTTCTTCCCTGCCGGGCACCACCTGCTTGGAGCAGCTGCTGGAGCCGCCGCCGCCGCCTCGAGCTGAGCCAGTACGGAGCCGAGCAGAGCCGCGAACCGCGAAGGGCGAGGAGCGCGGCAGCAGCCGGGTGAGTGACAGGTGGGCGCGGCCCGAGCCTAGGTGCGCGGGGCCACGCCTCCAGCTGTGGGCGATCGAGACCCCGGGAGTTGCTGGCGGGGTAGGGATGCTACCAAGTTCAAGCAGTGGAAAGAAAACGTCCCGCTCCTGCTTAGTAGAGTACTGACTTGAGCTCTGACTTTACTTTTGACAGAAATAATACCTACTGCTAGAAGCTGTTTGAGTAGCTTTCCCAGTTGCCCATGAAAGTGGAAGTATTAATTGTAGCCAAATAGGAGAGGAATAAAGTTAGACACCAAATGGGTACTTTTTGGAGATCTCCTAAAAGGACTGTCCAGCTAAGTCTCATCTTGTCAAAAGAAAAACAAGCAAACCCAACAACTTGCAGGGAAAATTAGAAATGCGAGGAGGTGAATTAATGGCAAACGTGAGGTCATGTCTTGGGGAAACCCTTTAGGCAGAAGTCTGTTCAAAACTTTCTGCTGCGAGTGGATCGCTGCTTAACAAATAGCGTGAGCGTCGCTTCCGAGTTAAGCCGATGTTCCTATGGCCTTTTTTGTTTTGATAGTCATCCGAAGTAGTTGCGTTTAAAGTATTCTGCTGTAGACGTGATGTTGACCCTCTGGTCAGGCAAGAGTCAAGTAAAAATGTACCTGGAAGATCTGTAAAGCGTTCCACTGAGCGGCAGCTTTTACTCCCTCGGTTTTGTAGAGGCGACGTTCTCCTTTTGTACATTTTTATCAAATCGTGTTAATGCTAGCAAATATTTTGAAAGTTCCATTCTGCCAGAGACCTAAAGAACTCTTTTCTGCCAATACATCTTACTTTGTTTAAATTCTAATTATTTTGACTGCTTAATTGTTAGGTTAATGACATATACATTAAAACTTTAATTAGATTAAAAGTTGGATCACAAAAACCATGAGGCCATGCGTTGAGGGGTAAGATATGGGAATAGATGGGATTTCAGTTGAAAATGTTTATAGTTTACTGGCTAATTTATTAGTGTAATTACAGAAAGTAAAGCAGAACACTAGTATGTTTTGTTGTTTAATAAACACAATTGCTTGCAGTAACCTGATGTTACTAATGCTCTAGAAAACACCTGATGGTTTAGAAAAAGTTTACAGTTATTCTCAGAAGAGTAGGCAGAAATAATACTGACAGAAAGCCTAAATAAACCTATCTTTGCTTTTATCTTGAGAGAGAATTGACTAGAACTCCTGTTTCTGGTTCCAGAATGAGGTAAAAAGTGGTTTTAAAAAGATTCTTCAGATTCAGTGTAGATGAATACTATGTATTTTAAAAATATTTATATTTGAGTGTGTACCTAATCCTAATGTATAAGAATTTTAGAGCTGGGGTACTTGTTTACATTTGTTTTTATTAACTTTTATGATCAAGAATGTTAAAAGTAAGAATTGAATTAGTTTGGAAGGCAGAGATCGTATTGCTGCAAATGTTAACTTACTAAATAACTTTGCAGTTCACTGAACCAAGATATTTTCACCGTGGAAGCAGAGAATTCAGAATTAATCTTTATATTCATTTTTACCCAAACGTTTTCAGACACTATCAATCTTTATTTGAAAAACTGCTATGTAAATATAAATTTTGTATACAAAAGACCAAAAAACCTTTTTTGAGAGGATACCAAACAAACATTATTGTGTGTGCCTTCACTATATGTTGGGCACTTCCAAGATTTAATCCTCATAGATGCCCTACATGATAGAAGTTCTTGTTGCTATTTTATGCATTCGGAACTCACTGCTCAGAGAAATTAAATAATCTTTCCAAGGTCACATGGTTAATATATGACAGAGAGAGTTTTTGTCATTCTCCACAATGTTTTTCCATCGCTACAGCTACGTTTGACAACTTTTAGAACTTTTTATGTCTCTGAGATAACTTCAGTCCTATTGATTAATACTTGCAAGTTTACATACATTCTGGATTCCTAGAATCAGTTGTGATGGATTAGCTGAATTAATTTGTTCTTTGTTCTCTGTAATGCATTGTTGCATATCTTTTATATCACATTTACAAATGACATTATTGATCATACTGTCTGTAGTTCTAAAGAATCTTTTCATTATAAAGAACCAGCGTTTCAATGAAGTCATAGGAGGAATACAAAAGCTAAAATATCTTTCCAAGAGTAGGTGAAAAGTGGAGTGTAGGCAGGAAAATAAGCCCTGATGCTTTATTGTTGATTCCCTGCATCTGCTGCTCAGGAAGGCTTGTGCCCTGAGAAGTGGACAGTTTTCTCCGTTACGAGTCACAAATCCAGTTTTCAGCAGCTCTTTGTCACTACGGCACAACAGAGGATTCCTCAGTCCTCTAAATGCCTCTTTGCCCAACTCAAGGAGTCTGGCTTACCTCTCTGAATGGAAAGAAGAAAGAAATGAAGTTGGAATCTGGAACTGGAAGAGGACTCTCTAAGGTGTCCAGGAGTAGGTGTAACTCGGCAGTACCCTTCCGAGCTTCCTGCATGTCTCAGAGATCTTTCCTTGCTCTCCTAACACCTCATTGCTGAAGATATTTGGGCATGGGGAGGAAGCTCGTAGCACATGCCGATTTCAGTTTTATTCACAGTTCATAAGCACAGATGGGAACACATAAAAAGAAAAGATGCTAAAAACAAATCCATCTTCAGATCGCCTAGATAAAAAGCACTTTCTCTCAAGGAAGAAAGAAAATTCATTGCAAAATGAGGCAAATTGCTCACATTTTCTCTTGTTCTCTGCTTGATCCTGGCATCAGCCATGTTCTCCAACACACTCCCCACCTCTCCACTGCCCAGCCGAGCATGAGGACACAACAACATATGGGCACATACACTGACACTGAGTGGAGATATTAAGCAAAAACAAAAAAATCATTTTGGACTGCTAGGGAAA